GACTCTGAATCCTAGCGGGCTCACTCTGGGGACCTCTCTGGCACTAACTCACTGCAGCAGCAGCAGCTTCTCTGGACAGTCAGGCCCAAGAGCCACAGGTCCACACTCCTGGCCTTTCAGTGGAACTCAAATCCCACACAGCTCTGAGTGTCCACAGCAGGGACAGGGCACTGACAGGGGCTGCAGCGCGGGCTGCTCACGACTGGCCGGGTCTGGGAGAGTTGCTCCTGATTGGAGCAGGAGGCACAAGGAAAGCGCTTTACCCCTTCCAAACGACGGAGCAAGAGACAGAGCAGTGCCGCTCCCCGCCTTGCTTGCGCCCACTACCCCAGGCCCGCGTCCTGCCCGTCACAGGGATGCGGCCGCAGCACTATGGCAGTGTGAACCTGCGCGCAGCCTTACTTCAGGTTGGCTCTCCTCCTGCTCCATCACGAGGGGCTGTGTTACCAGGACCCCAAGGAGGGTGGCCCAGGTTTCCTCAAACTGTGTCCGGCTGGTCCATCCTGGGAAGACACAGGAGAGATAAGACACTTGGGTGAGGGCGGCCCCTCACAGCATTCTCTGACTCAGGGAGCACGACCACCTCCATTTCACCAAACACAGACATCAGCTCACTCTCAGAGTGAGGACAGGCTGGATGCCCAGCTCCAGCTGTGACCACTTGACACAGATGGGTGAGCTACAGCGTCACAGCAATGCTTAAGGGCACAGTTAAACCACGTCTCTCCTGCCCAAGTGTTCAGAAATGGCAGGAACAGAGGATGAAAGACAACAAGGTCCACTTGGGAACATTCCAGGGCTCTGTGACGGCACGGCTGCTGGCTAAGCCACTGTCAAGTGTCCCCACCAATGGGTGACAACCACTGTGTGCTTCAGTCAGTGTTCTTCCTGAGGCTGTACTCAATGCCCCTGCTCCCCACCCCGCATTCAGGTGACAGGTGACAGGGTTGCTGAGGACAAGAGAAGGAAAAAAAATCAAACCTCAGGATCTCTGTGGTCTACTGGAACCACAGAGGCCGACTTCGAGGCGTAGACAGGTTTACAGACGTGTGTGTGTGTGTGGACAGAGAGGCAGACAGGTGTGATGATTAATGGGTGGGGGTGAGGGAAGAAGGGGACTAAAAGGAAAAAAAAACGGGCAGAAGCAGAGACAAGCACGGGAAGTGCCTAACGGTCCTGGGACCCGAGTGTCTGACTGACAGCTCCCGAGAGAACCCAGGGCCTGTCTGACTGACAGCTCCCGAGAGAACCCAGGGCCTGGTGCAGGAAGGACGGACGACAGGCCAGGAGAGAGCAGAGGACAAGCTCCTCCCTCACCTTCCACTGTGGACAGGGCAGTGACCGCCCACTGACCGCAAGGGAAGTGGACTGTCTGCAGCCTCAACTCCTGGGACTGAATGCAGCACAAGAGGTACAGAAGTCAGAGCGGAGGTGGCTCAGGGGACAGAGGGAGGGACCAGAGGTGGATGGAGGTTGCTGAGTGACAAGGACTTCTGACAGTCCCACCAGAGGAAACTCCAGCAGGAAAGTGGGAGACAAAATGGGTCAGGAGCAGAGAACGCGACTTCTAGGACAACCCCTGCCGCTGCCCCCTGTGTGCTAGTGGCCTCGCTCCCCAGTGTGTAAGTTCACCCCAGTTCTCTGCTGGCCCGACCCAGCAAAATATGTGGGGGGTACAGCTCAGGCTGCATCAGCCCCGAGGTGACCGTCCACTCCAGCAGGCCCCTACTGGGAACTCTGCAGCAGAGATTTCACAAGTTAGCCTCTCGCATGCGCATTCTGTACATGGGAACCGGAACACCCAAGGATGACAGAACAGGCTCCAACTGGCAAGCACAAGAAGCAGGACTCAGCCTGTGTTTGCTAAAGCTGACTTATTTAGCCTGACTTGTAATAAACGTGACCCAGAAGGCCCCAGGGTTCCCGTACACATGCATGGACACATATGCTCCCACAGAGATGTAGCTGACTTACTTAGCCTGACTTGTAATAAATGTGACCCAGAAGGCCCCAGGGTTCCCGTACACATGCATGGACACATACGCTCCCACAGAGATGTCACTTTTGCTGTACCTAGTGTATTGATCCGACAGATGAACTCCTTGAAGACCTCCTTCTCTTGAAGAAACTCCACAGGGATCTCAGGAAGCACTGTGCCAAAGTCTCCTCCAGGTTTGGGAGACCATCCGAGCTTCCACACCTGAGGACCGAGAAACCAACATGTCCAAGTCGAATCAGCACAGTGGTGCCATGAGACCCCACCCTCTCAAGCTCTTTGGGTGAGTGGCTGCGGAGGCCTGGCTAGTGGAGCCTACTGCAAACTGATGTGAAGGGGTTGGGACGTGGGACTAATCTCCAAGTGTGACTTTGACAGGAAACCACTGACTTGAGGGGGTTGTGATCATTTCCGAGTCAAAGCGAGCCTTCTTCATGATGACTCACCTCACTTTACAAGATGCCCAGGAAATAAGCCTGTGAGCGGGATGCCACTGTCCTGGGTGAAAGAAAGCTGTGGACTCACCAGGGGCGGGACCCGCGTGTAGCTGTTGACGAGGGGCAGGCGGGCCAGGCTGACCACTATGTTCTTGAGGACGGAGGTGAGGAAGGCGGGCGTGTTGCTGCTCCTCTGGTGGCCCAGGGCCAGCACTGACCGCAAGGCCTCCACCATCTCCGTCACCATTTCACAGGCTCTGGTGACGTACTGCAGCTCTGCTGAAACATGTCTGCTTGTCAGGGTGCCCCTGCTCCCTGTCTGCACCCGACCCACCACCAGGTACCCAGGGCAGAGACGTGTGGGCAGCCCAGATGATCCTCTGCCCTCACCCTGCCCCCCAAGCTGACAATGCCCATCAAGACCCTCCTGCCCACAGCACTGGACTAAGGAGTCATGGGGGCGGGGGGGGGGGGGAGCTGCTGGGTATTCACACTGGGTCTGAACACAACATGTGTGAAAACACGATTTGTAGGGTTGATAAACATTTAGGATCGGAGAGGAATAGTACCCACAGTCCAGCAAAGTCAAATGTCCAGCACCCTAATCCAGTGCGCTCACTGGATTTAAAGAGTGAAGTCACATGGTAAGCGAGGTAAAGTCGCCTTTCATAACACTGACTGAGACACCTGAAAGGTGTCATCGTATCAAGGTGAGTACAAGACCCAGCTTCCTGGAGTCGGACAAAAACAACTGCTCAAGCAGGATCACATGAACCCCAAATTCAACACGCTCCTCCAGGACCCCCACTTTCTGACTCAAACCCCAAAAATGCCAGCCTAGTTCTCAGTACTTCCTGTGCGGTGACTTAGCTCCTCCTCAACAACCCGGATGAATTGTCTCCATGCCCATGGCAGACAGAAAGACCCACCACTGCAGGGCCCTGCTATATAGAGCACCGCTGCACTACATGTGTGTCCCTAGAGAACCTCGTGCTTGGTAAAGTCGAGGGTCAGCAAAACTGAGGGAGACCCCCAATGGACAGAGTGGTGCCTACAATGGGTTCACACAAAACCGCCGCGGGGAAGACACAAGACCAGGAAAGCTTTACTCTCTTGTACATGGGGCTGTGGAAGCGGTGTGGCTGCCTCACCAAGCCCTTCAGAACAGAACCAACTTTAAAATCGAGAAGGAAAAACTGCAGCACGTGACCAAATCTAGAGTCAGTCAGGGACTGGGAGACTGCCCCCCTGTTTGAAAACGCCTCCTAAACAGCCCTTCAGGTTGGTATCCGTGTGGGCATCTCACTGACCCCCAATTCCACACCACTATTTCTTCATTCACAACTGAACAAACATCTGTTGGTCACTTAGCTTCCCGGGACACAGGGGAAGCCCTTTTCCTGCCCTCAGGGAGCCTACCTAGGACTGCGGCGGGAGGGGGAGGGATGGGGCGTGGTGACTAAGGTACGTGAAGCCACAGAGCCTCTGCGTCCACCACACCATGGGTGTGAGTTCCAAGCCCCCCGAGAGACACGAGGCTGAGAGACACGAGGTGAGGCTGGAAACGTACGTGGGGTGTTTGAGTCCACTCTGTCCTCTCTGATGGCCTCTGGGTAGTTTGTCCTCCTCTCCGGGCTGAGAAGTTGGTCCCCAGGCTGCACAGCGACTGCAATAAGACAAACTAGCCTTTCCCAACACATCTCCACCCCGGTCCCCATGGCTATGCGGCCTCACGGGCACTCACTCAAGGGGACAGACAGCCTGTGAATGAGAGGGTCCTCAATTTCCTACCCACAACGTGAGGCACTCGACTTGGGTACCCACCTCTCAGCTGTGCCTGAATTTCAAGAATTTGGATGTTTGCATTCAGGGTTCTAGAAGCTTTCACTGCCTAAAAGTTTGTGGGAAAACTCCATTCTCTCTTAATTCCGTTTCTCCACCAACTAACCCCCTCGTATTTGCCATGTCTAGCCCTAAAGGTTTTTATCAGATAGTTCATGACTCATTACAGATAAAAGTATAAGCCCTACCCTCTGTCCCCCAACCCTAGAAGCCTGGCTTGAAAAAAATAAATCCCTGGATCCCTGGGGTTTTCCAGTTGCCCACAAATGCGCAGATGGTAAATCTAAACAATAAGAAACTTCAAAACGTCATTCTCTATTGTCTAATTTCAAAACATAAAACTTCAAAAAAACACCCCTAACATGTAAACTATAGTGCCCAATTTTTACAAACTCTTGGCTAATGACCCTGCCTGAGAACACTGTCCCTTGGAAAGAATGAGGAACTTTCATTCTGATGTCCATTTGCATTAAACCCAGCCTAGAAACAGTCTTGGCGACCACAGCAGGACCGAGGCAGCTCTTTCAGGGCGTCACATTCATCTTGGCAGGACTAAGGCTGCAAAATGCAACCATCATCTCGGATCACAGCTCAAGGGACACAGCGCTTCAGAATCTTAAAACGCTATGATGAGAGAACCACACTAGAGGTGAGTTCCAGGGCTGGTCCATGCCCACGTCAGCCCTCCTGCCCAGTTCCTGACGAGGGTTGCAGTTCTGGGCCCGTGTCTACTCACTGGCCTCGAGGATGAAACGCACGCAGTGGATGAGGGAGCAGGCCTGGCTCACGAACTCCGGGGAGGAGATCACGAGCCAGAGGCCGGGCAGTTGCAGCGCCAGGCAGCAGCAGTCCAGGCCGGCCTGCAGGTCCAGGCTCAGCGGCATCTGCTCGTGGATTAGATGCCACGACAGGGCCTGGAGAGGAGGACGTTACGGAACACGTCATCACCAGCTCCCGGGCGGGCGGTGACACATGAGGGCTGCAGGGGTTCAGGAACACAGCTCTGTCCTCTCTGCTCTCCCCTCATCACCCCACCACTCCCTGACCCCAGCCCCGCAGCCCAGAAGCCCCCCCCGAGACCAGCTGGATCCCACCCAGGGCTCTTGCAGGCCTGCAGGCTGCCCCCACCTCCCTTTACTTCTAGGCAACACTGTCTCAGCAACCCTCCCTCGGCTCAGAACCTCTGGGCTCTGGGCTCCGGGCAGCAGGCTTGCCTGCCCAGTTACACAGGCGGAGGCTGGAGTGTGACTTGGAGACAGCGGCCCGCAGTGCTAACAGCGGGTGGGCCACTTCCGAGCTGGGGGACCTGGGCTGGCCTCACTGTGCGGAACTGCAAGGACCGCATGCGATGAGACACAGGACAGCAGGCACTTTGTAAGCGGCCACCACTCTGTCCTGGGGCCATGCTTGTGTCCAGCCTTCCTCTATGAGACAAGCCCCTAGCTCATGAAGGACCGAGGCCTGAAGGACTCAAGCCCGGCCCTGCGATGCAGCCCGTGTGCAGAACGCTTTGGTAATGATGAAGGCTACATGGACTGTGTGCTTGGTTCCCCTCGGCGGGAAAGCTCAGCTGTGCGGTTCAATCTAAATCTCAGACAACTCCCTTCCCAGATCACTGCGGCTCTCAGGTCTCTGCATCGAGGGCCCTCAGTAGCGTTTGAAGCTCCTTCCCTGGCTGGGCTGGCCTGGCCTGCCGTCAAAGACCGCATTGAATGAGGAAAGTTGTCACACACAGCTCACACGTGACACCCGTCTAGGACTCGGGCGAGGCCTGGGGGCTGCTCAGCACGTCTCCAGTTCACTTGGCGTCCCTGTGGCCAGAGCCCACCCTTTCCCTCCAACGTTTACCAACAGGGCAGGTGTGTGGGGTGGCACACTTGGGTCTGCAGCTGGCACAGCGAATGTGTCTGGTTACCTCCCACCACAGTCACTGTGAGGTGCTGGTGAGGCTGGGGCTCAGAGGAGAAAGTGGGGTGACGGGGCTCCTGCTATAGCGTCATGCGGGTGGGAGGCTTACAGCCCCTGGTTTCAGAACACCCCTCTCACGCCCTCTGGTTCTCTCCGCAGCTACTCACCTCTAGTGTCATCACCACAAACTTGACAGCGTCACACTCCTTCTCGGGGGGCAGGTGCAGATGGCCAGGAACTCTGGGAAGAGCCACCAGGTATTGTGCCAGAGCCCGGGCCAGCGTGGTCAGAGACTGGTACAGCGCAGCATCCCCTGAAACAGAGAAGGCCCTGCTCTGGGGGACTGACCTCTCCCGAGCCACGCTATGTGCATAAAGAAAGGTGGCCCCAGTGACCGTGTTAAACGTTGTCTACCTAGGAGGACACAGACAGTACTGACTACATGTTCACTCCATACCGCACTGTACTAGGGTGTGGGAGTCTGTCAGCAAAGGAGACAATCTATTCCTTACCAAACAGGTCGTTCAGCTTGGCCCAGTAGGCAGAGGATTCGGCCGAACCACCCGGCTGGAACACCTGGTGGGCAGTGGGCAGCTGCATGACGATGCTGCTCATTCGGTGCAGAGTCACCAGGCGGGCTGTCTCAAAGAGGTGACTCCTCCGGCCCCCGGCGAGCTCACTCAGTCCGAGGCTTAAGCACGGAGCCAACAGGTTCAGGTTAAACTCCTGAGAGCAGAGCACGAAGGACGTCAGCACCCATTCCAACTGGGGGAGGGGGAGCACCCACCCACCAGGGAACAGAGAATCCGAGTAGGGAGGACTAATGTAATGGAGGGGGTGCTGGGGGTAAAGGAGGTGGGGGTGGTTGTGTACAGTGAAGTCGGTTCCGACGCATAGCGACTTGGCACAGGGTTTCCGAGATTGTCAATCTTTAGGGGAGCAGAAAGCCTCATCTCTCTCCTGCACAGTGCCTAGTAGTTTTGAACTACTGATTTTGACTAAAAGACAAGATTTTACTTAGGTTTTACACTGTGACACTGTTCCAGCTCCTTCCTACATCACTATGAGAGCCAATAGAAGACCCAGGGTAATCTGAGACCGTCTGTGCGTTCTTCACATGTTGTGCAAGGTTAACAAACACAACTTGCCTCCTTCCAAATTTGACCATGGGAAAATGCAGGGAGCACTTAACTCCCATTGCTTGGCAAGGCCGCACTGGGGAGAGAGACATTATGCACGATAAATGACTCTCAAAAGCTGACCCCTATCTTCCCTTCAAGTTAGCCCTGAATTTACTTGTAAAAATATATAATATGGCAATATTCCCAGCTTTCACTATGAATCCTACAAACCTTAGGAAAAACTAGCTTAGCAGCAATTGCTTTCAGCCTTGGTGGATTGAATACAAAGACAAATTGTGTAAATTACTCCTTTTCATTAGAAAACCTAAGTAATTGCATTTGTGAGGCCACAAAAGCAGATAGCATATTAGAGTCAAGCTGACCTACCCCCATAGGCCTCACCACATTCAGTCACTAGCTAGAATTCACAAACCCCTACATACAGACACCTGCATAAACAAGCAGACAATAATGAACTTAAGTGAAGGATAGTTTTGACTTAATAATCTATACTTCTTGCAGCAAGGAGCCAGGTTGGGCTTTATGCCACATAGCTTCCAAGTGATTTAATGACTACTTTATTATTGAAAATAATAGTACATTATGTAGGGTAGAAGGTTTGACTTAATCTTTTAGTAGAAACAAAAAGAAACAGTTTACCACATACTGGGAAAGGAAATAAAGGTCAGTCTGTCTGAACAGCACAGAAGTATTTTTGTCAAGGATGTCTAATAACTAGGTGCAAGAATGTTGTGACTAACTGTGTGATAATTGAAGAAATGATAAGAGTGTCAGTGCATGGACTGTGGGGGAAGGAGTACAAAAATAAAGACTTGCTGAGCGGGGTGGGCAGAAGGAGGAAGGAAGAAGCAGAGAGGAGAAGAGAAAGAGGAAGAAGGTAGAGAAAGTAGGAGCAAAGGCAGAAAGTAGGAGCAAAGGCAGAAAGAAGGCAAAGGCAGAAGGAAGTAGAGGCAGAAGCAGAGGCAGAAACTGGACAGAACAGCCAGACAGCACAGCACGCTGAAAAGTCTTTCGATTGTATTCATTCATTTCTTCATCCGTCGATTCTACGTATCCTCTCGTGTCCCACGACCCCCCACGGAGAGCAGGAACTCCCCGCAGGAAAATGTGACAAATGCCACCCCATCACGACTGGATCAGAGCCTCAGCCACCAAGGCAGGAAGGGGAGTGCTCCGCCCACAAGTAATAGCAATACAGCAAGATCCGTCCCGCCAGCAGACCTCAGAGCCATGAAGGAGGCCGGGTCCAGCAGCCTCCGTGTCACCCAGTCCACCACAGACGCTCACGTAGAGCCCCATGGACACTCACCGAGTTCATCATGAACGGGCTCAGCTCGTCCGAGGGGATTCTCTGCATCAGCTCCGCACCTTCCGGCAGTGCAGAGTCTGAGCGGATCCAACACTGGGACTTGACAAGGCGCATGTACCAGTCCTGGAGGAGAGGGTGGAGTGTGAGGTACAGGCAGTGAGGGCACGTGAACCACTTCCATTCAACTGGCTGTTACTCCGTCACCCCCTCATGTCCTGGGGTTCCAGACCCTACACACACACTGTGTGTGTGTCCTCCTCTCCTGGGATTCACTGTGTTAGTCATGTCCCCGGCTTCTGGGCTAGGGTCCCTGCTGTCCCATGTGTCAGGGGTTGGGTCTTAAACCCAGGTTCATGAGCACTGAACTCTCTTCAGGCAAGTCGAGAACCGGGTAACACTCTGCCACCCCAAACTCAGCAAGGGACACATGAAAGGAAGCCATCTCAGCTCCTCCAACCTGGCTGCTTCCTGCTCACAGAGCAGACACCAAGCAGGCAGCACTGGGGACATGCAGGCCACCAAACTGTCTCCAGCTCTGAAGTGGGAGCAGTGAGGGGACCAGCAACAACCACGTCCCTAGACGTGCCAGAGGTCACACCCAGGACACCACACCCCTGACTCTCCTCAGGCTGCGTCCCCACTACCATAGATTGGCCACAGGTTCTCCGAGGAGGAGCTGAGGAAGGCGGCAGTCCTCAAGTGCACACACCCCTCACACCTGCGCTTACACACAGGCACGCACACACCATCCCTCGCGCCTGCGCTTACACACAGGCACGCGCACACCATCCCTCGCGCCTGCGCTTACACACAGGCACGCGCACACCATCCCTCGTGCCTGCGCTTACACACAGGCACGCACACACACAGCAGCCACCTACTTTGTCTGGGTTCACTGTTTCCAGGGACATCTGGCCATCCCCGTCCAGCGGGTGAGAAGTGACAAGGCGCGGGGGGCTGGGTGACTCGGGGACCGTGGAGAGACGGAACCTGTCCAGCAGGGAGTAGAGTCTTTGGTGTCTGAAAGGCAAACACAGAGGATGTGTGTAGGCTCCATGGGAGCGCTGCAAGCCAGGGCACTAGAGGCACACGCGGTTGAGACAGAAGCTTCTGAAAGCAGCCACAGCTTGCTGCAAACTCTCTCCACAGCCATTTCTTCATCGGCACCTGAGCAGGTCATGAGGCAAACTGAGGCCCTGCTGGATCCAAGCCACCGCAGCTCACTCCCTACAAATTTTTCCAGAATGTTCATGTGTGCTCAGACACTGTAACAAGCAGTGGTCAGCAGGACGGCTAACCAAGGTTTCCTTTATCAATGCAGAAGTGACCACCTACACCGAAACCCAACAGGTGTCTGGATGCTCCTGTCCAGTCTCCTCACAAGGTTCATCCACACGCATGGATGGATGGACACTCCTGTCCAGTCTCCTCACAAGGTTCATCCACACCCACTGATGGATGGACACTCCTGTCCAGTCCCCTCACAAGGAGCATCCACACCCACTGATGGATGGACACTCCTGTCCAGTCCCCTCA